CTTGAACTGAACGTGTGTGAGGCACTACCTCCCAGACGCCCAGACGCGGTAGAGACGCAGGGTATTCCCACACAGGCGCTAGACAGACACGGAGAGAACCAGTCAGCTAGAGAGCAAGGATAGCCGACAGGGTCCACGCGCCACAGCACCACGTTGAATGGATTGGGTCCTGGCGCGAATACTGCGCACGCTGACCGCGTTCATACCTCGCGACTCGAGCGCTATTTTCGAATCACGCGCCACTTCAACTCGTCCCATCACACATCGCTGTAACGCTGCAGCTGCTAGTTAATCAATCATATTTAGGAAATAACTTCTCCCGGCTATTTGCTGCTTTGGTACCAACAACTAGCTGAGGAGCGCTGTTAACAGCAGTATCGCGACGAAATCGCTCGAGTCGCGAAGTATAAACAGTTCTCCAGCCACTTCCAACTCCTATTTCAGCGCACTCCTGCCATTGAGAAGAAACTCCTCACACTCAAACTTTGCAGCTTTCTAGTGAACATATCAACATCATAATGTGTCCGGAAATTTATCGCTAGTTTAAGCAACCCAAAAATAAAAACACCTGTGCCAATTAATTTAACAGAACTAATTCTACAAGTGAAAGAAAAGGTTAGAAAAGAGAAGAACTAGCCGAAGCACAGCTGTTCAATACGTTAGGACGACACCGTATCACGATCGGGGGAACGGAAAACACTAGCTGAAGCATTGGTCGCTCAGGATCACAACTTATCACAATACACCAAAATACTGTTGAAACAACGGTTTTTCTATTTACATGTCAATATATGGGGAAAGAAGAATTATGGCAAGAAATCTAGCACTAGAACCAGCCAAACCGTCACGATTCTGACTGTATTTTTAATAGCTCCGCCTTGATTATCAAGACAAAAAGACAGGGGCATGACCTTATCGAGTAATCCAAAACCAGTACAAAAATTGGTTATCCACTGGTTCTTGCTTCGTCTGTCGACCTCTACAGGTTCTAAGAATTCCGTGATTACAAAGTAAATCAGGCGCAAACATATAAAAAATTACAAATTCAGGCAATAGTTCTTATGATCTAAAAGGGCATTCGACCATCGTAGCATGGGCGGAGTCAGGTGTACCATGGGCCCACCGCTACCCGCTCTTCACCGCCCAACTTTCCAAAATTCAAGCCAGATTTCAGCCCGAGAATTGATTCAACCAAAATGTTCGCCTCGAGATAAATTAACCCCTCCCCTACGAACACCACCTCCACTTGGCGCGAGAGCGCTCAGCGCCAGCGAACTATTTCGGCGCCAATAACTGCTGAGAGGACGCGCCGATCGTTATCAGAGCAGTTGTGATATTCGCGTT